TTTTATTGTTTGATATAATTTATCAGTTAAAATGTTTATGAGCCTGCTGTTGTCATATAGGTAAGTTTTCAAGCTAGGAATATACTTTCTTTAGTAGGTACTATTCAAATTTTATATTTCCTCCAGAGTTAGTTTCATTAATTTGTCTTCTAAGTTACTTCTTAGAAGTTGTCAAATTTATTTCAAAAAAGATTTTTGTAACATGCTTTCTATATCCTTTTAAATTCTGTAAAATCTGTGGTAATGTCTCCTGGATCTTAATATTGTAATTTAAAAAATGTATAACCTATTGTGTAACAGGAAGAAAAGGTTTAAAAGAGCAGGGGAAGTGGGAGGGGTAGGGGAAGGGAGAAAAGGGAAAGGAAAAAATATGAGAAGAGGAAAAAAATGGAAACAAGGTCTTTACAAATAGCAAAGGGTGGAGGGGTTGAAGGGAGGGCAAGGGAAGGGGAAAAAAAATAAGAACCAAGATACTTATGTAATGGTACAAGATCTCAATGATGAATGTAACTGTATTGTATACCTAAAATGTACCAATAAACTTAATGGGGGGAAAAAAAAGAACAGTAGCATAACTATTGGCTAAAGCAATCTATGATATATTTCAAAATGATTAGAGAAGTACAAAATTCTCTGCATATAAAAATGATTAATATTTAATGATTAATCAAGGTAAATGATAACTGATTTGATCACTTCATATTGTAAATGTGTATTATCTTAATGTATCCCATAAAGATGTGCAAATATTATGTCTTGATGTAAAGTGAAAATAATAAAAAGAAATCAAATTGGGCTGAATTTATAAATCCAAATTTGTTGGTTTTTAATGGTATTAATGTTATCAATATATTGAGCACATATTAATGTATTTATATAGAGAGATTATTAAACTGAACATGAAATAAATTATATTTAATAAGACAGTCTGGATGGTCTGAAGGTGGATTGACCATCAGTCAGTTAAAGCAGTTAAGGCCTACAGAGCCAGTGATTTCTGGAAAGAGGTGAAAAGAAATCCTTGGGCATGGGGTGTCCAACCCCTCCCTGTAGCCACATCCCCAAGAGCCCAGAGATAAACTACTTCCTCAGCATCCATGTACCTGGACCATAGTTCACATTCCTGCAGTGTTGATATTTCTTTTGCTTCAACTTTGAAATTTTCTGAAACTTCTTCCCCCCAACCCTTACTCCTGTCTCATGGCCTATACTGGTCCATCAGGCAGGGCCCAGGAAGTATTCACTTCCCTGCGGTTGGGTTATCACTGATCAAAACTTTCAGGATCTACCTTCCCAGTCTGAGACAGGCTCTTCTGAGGTGTGTGGGTGCTGAGTACTGTTCAATCTTTGTACTCTGGATTGATTTTTTAAAAATATTTATTTACTTAGTTTTTGAATCATTTGAGCACATTAGATAATAAAATATTATTAATTAAATAATATTTTCAAGCTAAACTAAGGTGTGCTAAAAAAAAGAATCCAGATTACTGTTTTTCTCATCTAGCCTATTCTTTTGCTCTTGAAGTTCTTGCCAAAGCAGGGCTCCCATCTGTGTTTGAAGCAATGACTCCTCACTGCCTTCAGCCAAGCAAAACGTTAACTTGGGGGTAGTGCATTGGCCTAATCTATGAGCTCTAGTATTTGGTTTTGAAGTCTCAAGACTTTATCCTCATACCACAAACACGTATGTGTTTGAGTAAACTCGGGCATGGAAACGGATCTCATAACACTTGTTCACTTCCTGTTGATGAACTTCTGGCAATCACCCAGTCCCAGTGATCAGTTTGTTGTACTGTGGCATGCTGACAACATCTGTCACCTACCAGGGCTTCTGGCTGATAGACTTTCCCTAGGGGGTTGAAGGGTGGAAATCAGCAAACATACCTTTTAAATGAGAGGACAGTTTCAGACTAAAGCCATTCCTAGCTATAGCATGCATGTTGGCATTATACAGTTTTCTTTAGTTAATTTTCTCTTTCCAGGAGGAAGAGCTTGTTACACAGACTGGAAAAGCCACCTTTCTTCCCTCCCCTAACTCTGTACCCTGAGAGGTTTAGCTGTAACTTGTGGTGTAGACTGTGTTTCCTGAGGACAGAGACTGGGTTCTGTATCCCCAGTATCCAGCATAGGCCCTGGATCATGAAGGGACTCAACTATTTGCTGAATGAAATAATAAAAGAGCTAAGCACGGTTGTGCACCCTATAATCCTAGCTACTCAGGAAGTTGGAGTATGAGGATTGCAAATTTGAGGTCAATTTGGGAAATTTAGCAAAATCTTATTTGAAAATTAAAAAATAAAAAGGACTGAGGATGTAGGTGAGTAGTCTCTGGGTAAATCCTGAGTACTGCTGAAAGGGAGACAGGGAGGAAGGAGGAGAAGGAAGAAGAAGGAGAAGGAAGAAGGAGAAGAAAAGGAGGAGGGGGAGGAGGAGGGGAAGGGGAAGAGGAGAAAAGAAGAGAAGAAGGGAAAGGAAGGGAAGGGAAGGGAAGGAAAGGGAAAAAATATATTCTGAAGTGAGTTGGACACCGTAATTTCTAAATGTGCTACCCAAATTCATTTTGCCTTCTGATTTTCTGATTCTGTGATTCATTAGGTTCTCCAAGGAGAAATCCTAGCATATCTGCCTAACTGATACAACCACAAATAAGGGGAAAAAAGAAAAGTTCTGTTCCACTTGTCATTCATTAAGACATATGATAAATTACATGATAAAATCACAGGCAATTCATCACTCCATCTGATGTTAGAAGCAAAAATGAAGCATTATCTTGTAGTACATGTAGTGCTCTATTTTATTTGCATTCCGTAGCCTAACAAAATGCAACATGAATATATTATATTCAAGGGCACAATTTATGTAATCATGCCACTTAAGGAGCAGTTTAAAATAGCAAATAAAATCAAACTGTAGCACTCAGCATCCTTATCAAATGAAAATCACATACAAAAATCCACTTTTTTCTTTTCAGCTTCAGCTGCAGGGACCAGAAATAAATAGCTCCATCTTCTCTGATCATGATTAAGGTGTCATCAGGCACAGAGAGAATGCGCAGCACAAGACCCCCATGTGACAGCCTCTGTGGCACTACAGCAGGCAGCAGGAAGGACACCTCTTTCTGTCAGGCCAAAGCCTTGGCCTGCTTCAAATACTCTAGCTGTAGATACGTCCAGAAGCCACCCTGGAGAATAAAGGACAATTTGTTAAATATCCACTGTCTTTCTGGCTTTCAAAAATTTCCTTTCCCATTAGAGAATAGATAACTCCTTTCTTGGATGTAGTAAATGTTAGTACATGAACTTTATTGCCAAACTTACGTGTAATAACTGTGGTAAGCATGCTCAGCTGGGCCTGAAGTCTGTTTCCCAGCTGCCAGCTTACTTCTTCTGCTTTCCCTTTTTCTTTAATGGTGTTGTTGTTGTTGTTGTTGATGATGATGATGATGATGATGATGATGATGATGATGATGACAATGGCGGTGATGATAATGACTGTTAGAGTGTACCATGTTCCATGTAGTGTGGGTCTTCACTTCAATTCTCATCATTCCTAAAGGGGTTAAGGTCCATCGCTCACCCCATTTTATGAACTGGGAAACTCAAGCTTGAAGAGAAGTTAAATGGCTTGCCTAAGATGGAACAACTAGCCAATGGCCAGCCAGAGACTTGTGTTGTCATTGATCTGATTCTGAAGTTCCCACACAGCAGGGCATATGCCTTTTTTTGAATCTTAGCAGTATACTAATGGGAAGGAACTTTGTGATCAAAAATAGAAAGGGTGGAGTCTCTTTGGACCTGGGAAATCTTCATTTTCTGTCCACCTCTTCCAAAATCCTCTTTCACTAGAAGCTTCCCTTCTCTGCCCTGGAATCTTGAATATTCCTTTTCAAATCATATGACAGTGAGGGCACTGTAGAATTGGCCAAAGGCCTGAATACAGATGACTTACTGCTCAATTTGTCACTTTTGAACTTAATTCATCCCAGAACAATGGAAGGACACTGACAGACATGATGGCCAAGAATCAAAAAAACAGGTATCTCAGCTCTTTGTTATTACATAACCAAAATTGGATAATATTAACAGGAATCATAATAATACTTGCTGAGAATTTATTGTGTGACAACCCCAGTTCTAAACACTTTACATGTGTTCACTGATTTCATTATCACCATGTATCATTGCCTGCAGTACTTTCCTGGCTTTTCAGTAAAGTGGTGGATATGGCCCTCCATTCTTGGTTTAAGAATTTCTTTCATGTAACTTGCCTTAGTTACTGAAATACCTAGTTAAACTACTCCAACTATGGGTTACCATTACATAAATTTGAAAATTGCAAACAAGCACGTTCTCTTCATTCAGCTTCAAGTTGACAGAAGTACTGAGGGTCAACGAGTACTCTAAAAAGGACCAGGCATGGAACAAAATATGTTATGAGCATTTCTTACCAACTGCAAATTGTATCCACAAAATATAATCCAACTTACCCACTGAATTTTACCCACTGCTTCATAGTCTATTTTCATGAAAAATTGTTCTATTTGTTTGATATTCTAGAGAGGAAAAAATAAATAGGTTTATAGACTCCACTCAATTTTTGGAGAAAGGGGTGCAAAAGGAGGGAAAAATCTTCATTTTCCAACCTATGAATTTCACATTCAAAAAGTATACTGCTCAAGGATCTCTGGAATGTTTGTCCTGAAATGTTAATTGGACCAGAATTCCCACAATGATACTAAAACTCTTCCCCAGTGAGTGACTTGGGCCCTTAGACCTTTTATTTTTGAAATTAAGCCCTAGTTATCAGGAGGAGATTTGTGCTTCTTGTTTACTTGTGCCCTCAGGAAGCCCCACTCTGCCCTGGTCAGTTCTAGCCTGAAGAATGGACTTGTTAGGTTCCCACTTTGAGATATATACCAAAGATAAGGATAATGAGGGCACTCATTTGCACATAGCCCAAGACAAAAAGACATGCAAATTATGAAAGGTATTTTCACCTACTAGGGGGTAAAGAGAGAGAGGGAGAGAAAGGAAGAGAGATTTCTTCTGTGTGGCTGTAGATGGATCCAGCCATCCCTTTCTCTTGGCATTCCTGGCCTATGTATTCCCTCATTCTGAGTAATTTGCTTATAGCCAATAGAATACCTCAATGTTGAGAGGCTATCACTTCTGTGGTTAAATTATGACACATTATCATGACTTCTGTCTTGTCCCTTGCTTGCCTTGATAAAGCCAATTCTCATATTGCTTGCTGCCCTACAGACAGGCTCCTATGATAAGGAGCTCAGGCAGCCTCTGGCCAACAGCCAGCCAATAACTGAGACCTTTAGCCCAACAGCCTGCAAGGAGCTGAATCCAGGGAACAGCCAAGTGAGCTTGGAAGTAGCTCCTCCCCAATTGGGCTTTCCAATGAGACCAGCCAGCCTTGTGAGACACTCTTGGGACTAGGCGACGCTTGGACTCCTACCTTACAAATGCTGGGAGATAACGAAATGCATATTGTTTGTAGCTACTAAACTTTGATACTTTGTTTTGGAACAATGGACAACTAACACAGTAGCTCAAAAGTGTAGAAACTGGGCTAATGGGCAGAATGTCAACAAAGATTAATTACAGCTCAGAGGGGGAAAAATTTCTAAGGCCAGAATTTTCCAACCTTGAAGTGGGCCACCTTACAAGGAACTGAACTCTCTTTAGCTGAAGGTATTCAGATATATGCTCATAACCTATGCTCATGACCTAGCAGAGGGGGGAATTCGAGCACTGAAGGGTTGCATAGTAAGAAATCTCTAAGGTCCTGTCAAACCCCAAGGCTCTACCTTTTCAGGAATGATAGTAGAAGGCAGGTTTAACAGAGATGGTCAGGTTTTATGTATGAGTTGGACAGTGAAATGTCAATTTTCTCTTATAAGACCCAGGAGCGTCTGTCTGCCTTTGAGCAGCAGCAACAGTGAAATGGAGAAAATAAGATGATGCCTGGTCTCTGAGACAACACGGCCTTACTCATAGAAAGTCAACACCCAATGCCAAGAAGGGACCATGGAGAGCAAGACTCTGGCCATGGGCACACGCCAGCGCCAGTTCCCTTTAGGTCATTCTCCAGTGGAGGCAGGTTACACTCTTAGGTGTCACACTCTGGGCCAACAGCCCCAAACGCCAGGAAACAACATAAACACAGTTTTCAACAAGTATTTTTTGATGAATGTCCAAAGATACCAAAATATCCAAAGATATGTCCTCAAGGAGGGGCTGGAGTCAGAGATGGAACAGAAAGCAGAAAAGCTCTGGGTAAGGTTAACCATAAGTTGGCTCATGCTGCCCACCCAGACAATTATATGACTATAAAGTAGAGCCTGGGAGATGTGTGGGTGTGCCTGAGCAACCTGGAGCTGCAGACAAGTGGCAGCATCATGAGCCACGTCATGAGGAAGTGGACCAGCAGGCAGTTCTCCCTGGCCTTGCTACACTGCCTGTGCCAGAGACCCAGCTTCCTCTAGCAGCCTAGAGTAGAGAAACAGCATGTGCTTCTGCATGAATGGGCATGATTTTATGGGCCACGGAAGAACTACTGTCTCCACCATCAAATGACTCACTAGAGAAACACAGATTGGCACCAAGGCTATGCCAATACAGCACTGTGGCAGATGAGGAGGCTTCAGAGATGAAAGATGTTTTTGTGGCATTCGCTGCCTAGTGAAGCCATGATTAAGTCAGCATTTCATGGAAAAAGCAAAGAAGATTCTTGTGTTCTAGCAGGACTAGAGTACAAAACCCTGGAGCAGAGGAAAGGACATGATATTAATTATTTCCCTTAATCATTCTTTACGAATAAAACACCCACGTTTTAACTGAGTCATGTTCCCCCAGAACAAAGACCACAGCAGATCATCTAGCTGCCTCCTTTGCAGCTAGATATGACACATGATTAATATTTCCCTAAAGAGTTGAAAATGCAAGTGTCATGGGCAGCTTCTGGGAGCTGTCCTTAAAAGGAAGAGGTGAATCTGTTCTAGCCACTCCCTTCTTTCTGCTGGCTGCAATGAGAACATGTTGGCTAAAGACTAAGCAGACATCTGTGCCATCAGGAGGAATCCACATGCCAAGGTTAGCACAGTGGCTGAGGAGGATTCTGGCCTCAACAATTTCATGAAGCCACTTGACCCTTGACTTTTTACAAGAGCAGAAAAAGCTTTTAATCTCACTCAGGCTTTGGCGATTGAAGGTCTTTTGTCAGTGCAGTGAAATCCAATCCTAACTAAGATAATGATTTATGTAACACTGGAGTTTGAATCCCAAATCTATTCTTTAGTAGCCAATGAGCTTTGGGAAAGTTACTCAAAGTGTCTAAACTTGTGTCTTTTCAATTACAAAATAGAAATAAGATGCTTTCTGCACAGAGCTATTCTGCTATTCTGGAGGCTGATGGAATAAAATATATAAAGATCCTAGGACGGTGTGAGCAGTCAGAAACCAACAAGCCTTTGTTAAGTAAGTAACAAAAGAAATACTTTAGTGGCTCCTCAGTGATGTACAGGGTAAATTGCTAAATACAAATGATAATACGATGTCTGCCCTGGTCCCTCATCAGTGTGACTTGCACATTTTCCCTCAATGTTTATAAAAGGCATCATACTGGCTCTTGCCTGTGGGCTTCTGAAAATGCTGTTCCCCCTGCCTCACCTCCCTTTCTATCCTTCATGGTGTAAGTATCTACATTCCACAATGCTCAGTGTATGGGTGACCCTGCTGGAGGCCTTCCTGACTGCCTGGTCTGGTCAGACACTCCCATAGCACATGTGTGTGGTGTGATCACATCTTTGCACTCCCTCGCACAGAGAGCACGTCCTGATTGGCTGTATATCACAGGGGCCAAGACAAAGCCCGTCCCAGTAGATATTGAATGAATGAATGAATGAATGAGAGACTAAAGTAATGAGTCCACGGCTAGGCACCAAGCATTCTAAAACTACAGGTCAATAGACTGCTTTGGTTTAAGAGATCTGGGATACTGTGAAAACACCTAAAAATTCTGTCCATTTAAAACATTCTTCTCTCCAATAAAAATTCTTTATTTCACTTTATACAAATAGAGGTGCTATGATCTGAAGGTTTCTTTTCCTCAAAAATTTCTCTGTTGAAATCCTAACTCCCAAAATGACGTTTTAGAAGGTGGGGCATATACTTCATGAAGGTGCAACCCTTATGAATAGAATTAAGACCCTTATAAAAGAGGCCCCAGAGGGACTCCTCACGTCCTCCACCAGGTGAGGACACAGAAAGAAGTCTCCGTGAGTCAGGAAGGGGCTCTAGATAGCAAATCTGCTAGTGGCTTGATCTGAAGGACTTCCAGCCTTCAGAACATTGAGAAATGAGTCTCTTATGTAGAAGCCACCCAGCCCATGGTACTTGGTTATGGAAGACAAAATAGATGGGCAGGGAGACTTTCTAAAAACGGGTGTGTTGTGATATTCCCTTCCCACAGTAAGTGAAACTCTAAACACATCTAAACTTCCACTATAGCCATCAGATCCAGGAACTTTGCACTTGGAAGAAGCAGCTGATGACTTCATCAATCTACAGTTTGACAAGGTTATGTTTTTGTTCAAACATTGGGGACAGGATCATAGAACTGTACCTTGAATATTTTTCCATAATAAGACATAATTGAAACATTGACAAATAAAGCTTAAATACCTTGTCCCTCTATAATATGTATTTTATCTTACGATATGAGCAAGATCTTATTAATATTTCATATTCTAGGCTAAATAATATGGCAGAGAAAAATGTTTAAAATGTTAATTCCAGTAGACTGAGGGGATGGGTGAAATGCCAAACTGGAAAAAAAATCCATATACAAACTACCAGTGATCTATTAAGAGTCTTTTCCCTTCTTTTAAGAAAAGTCTCCAAAAATCTTGTTGGTCTAGTATATAGGTAATTTTTAAATATCTTCCCATATAAACTGTTATGGCTTATATCTGGATGTTTCCCCAAAGCTTCATGTACTCATAGGTGGGATTTTTCATAGGTGACTGGATCTAGAGTGTGTGAATGTGGATTAAGGGTGTGATACTAGGATTAAGGGTATGTGGTACTGGGTTAGTCCACTAATTGTATACCATAGTTCTAGGTGTGGGTAGTGGAAGCCCCAACCTGGGTGTGGGTGGCACCATCCAAAAAGCTTGTAGCCTGGATAGGAAAAAAGGGAAAGGGCTGCTTTCTGCTACTCTCTGCCATTCATGGACTGCTTCTCCTCTGCCAAACCACCTTGCCTTGGAGCCAGCCAATTATGGACTGAAATCTTGAAAAATGTGAGCCAAAATAAACCTTTTCTCATTTAACTTTGGGTGTCAGGTATTTTGTTTCAGCCATGAAAATACTAACTAAGACATAAACTCTTCAGTACATCAGATAAGTCTTAGAAATCACAGCTTAGAGAGGAGTGATCTTATAGGTAAATCATCAAACCTAACTCATCACATGGTTAAAGCTTTAACTGTGGTTTCAGTGATCTAACATTTATAAAACCCACTTACTTTATTCTGGGACCTCATACTCTGCTTCATTATGCTTTTGAATGTTTCCATATCCAGCAGTCGTGTTCCTCTCTTTTCATGCTCCTAAAAGAGGAAAAAAGAACAAAGAGGAAGAAGGAGAAGAAGGAGGAGGAACAAGCGGAAGAGGAGGAGGAGGAGGACGGGAACGAGGATGAGGGGGAGTATAATTAGGTAGAAACATGTAACGGTATTTTGTTTAACCTAAGAACAAGAGTCTAAATAATTGAATGTCTAATTAGACTTACCTAAACTCTGTCAACTTCTAACATATCTTTTGTTCATTTCTCTGATGCATTCACCATTTGTTTCTAATTCCATTAAGAAACGACAGTCAAAAATTTATTCTTCATTGCTATTTTATAGAAATTAAAAGGATTGTACTTTATACTAAAAAAACCCCCCAAATACTAAAAGAGAATCAAATTATCCAGATGAATATTTTAAAAGTTTATATGGCCAATTCCTACCTGAAATAGTGCGTTTAAATTTTGTAGTTCTTCCAGGGTCACTTGATGTTCAATCTCATGAAGACGAAAAGAAAATAAATTACAATGATACAATACCAACAGTAATGTTCTAAAATTTAATTTTTAGAAACCCATAATTTCCATTTTTATAAGACCAGTGAGATAATTGAGCATCCAAGTAACTCTTAGATTATTTTAACTCTCATTGTTCTAGGTATCTACTCCAGTTGACTCCCCAGCCTCCAATTCTGTGGTAGGGTTGGCTGGCCTGGGATGGAAAGAGGAGGTGGAGACAGAGTGACAGGTAAGAGAGGAAGGATAAATAGTTGCTTGACAGAGCAAAAAGAAAGTAAAAAAAAATCAGCAACTGAACCGAAATGAGAAAAGGAAGACTGAAAATGTTTTGCACATCCCTTTCAATTTCATTGAAGTTTAAAGAGTAATGGCACTAGGTCTTCTCTAAATGTCTTGTAGAATTCAGCAGTGAAGCCATCAGGACCTGGGCTTTTCTTTGTTGGTAAAGTTTTAATTACATTTTCAATTTCACTGATTATAATTGGGGTGTTTAGACTTTTCATATCTTCTTGATAAACTTTGATAATTCATATGTATCTAGGAATCTGCCCATTTCTTCTGTGTTTTCCATCTTATTGGTGTATAGGTTCTCAAAGTAGGTATTGATGACCCTCTGGATTTCTTCCGGATCTGTTGTGACTTCACCTTTTTCACATGTGTAAATACTGAATAGTTTCTCTGGTATGAAAAACTAAAAGTATAAATAAGGTTCAAATGATATAATTGATATGTGAAATAGGAAGAAAAGGTCTGAAGGAGTTGGGGAAATGGGAAGGGTAAGGAAAAGGAAAGAAGGGAAAAGAAAAAAATATGAGAAAAGGAAAAATGGAAACATTTTCCTGTAAATAGGGAAGGGTGGAGGGAGTAAAGGGAGGGCAGGGAAATGGGGAAAAAATAAGCACTAAGATACATCTTGTGAAGGTACAAGATCCCAATGATGAATGTAACTGTACTTTATACTTAAAATGTACCAATAAATTTAATGAAAAAAATATTTTGTACATCATATTCCAAAGACTCTCGCCAGAGGCAAGACCCTTGTCCGGGGGTCCTGTGCATTAGAGCTTCCTCTGTCCTCATCCCTTCTCTCCTGGGCTGAACCAAGAAGAAACTTGGGGAACTGATCTGCCACCTCTTTTTCTGGGATACATTTTCTGAAGTTATGGCTGGAAGCTCTTGCTACTCTTAATGTTAGGAAAAATGATTCTCTTTTAGTCAGCTGTCTTTCATTAAATAAATAGACCACCAGGAGAAATCTCCTCCTCAGTATCAGTCTATTAGCTACTATGTCAAGCATTTGGCTTGTATCAATGAAACCCCCCAAACTCCTGGTTTAGAATGAATAAACTGTTACTAGCAGGTACAGCCAAGTTGAACTCTGATGTTCTTACACTATTCCACTAGGATTGAAGAAGATAGAGGGGAAAATTGGCTTTTCCCTGAGAAGGTCATCTTCTGAAAGGTGTTGTGAACCAGCCTTCAAAGTACATAAAACTCAGACAGACTCTGTAGCTATTGGGACATCCACTGTTTTCTAAAATGAAAATTCTACCTTTCAAATTCTACTTTGAATGATCTTACGACTACTTTTGATTTGTTTTCATGGAGGAACAGAATTAGAAACCTGATTTTGGAATGGAGAAACACTCAGCCTGAAGCTTATTCTGAAAAATCCCTGTAGATATCTTCTGGCAAGACCTGAACTCAGGAGCTGTTTCAAGATGACTGGAGGAAAAATCTCAACAGTATTTAAATGCAGGCAAAAATGGTTCCATTAAACTGAGGGGCTACTTGACATCACCAGAGAACAGATTTGGAATTTTCCTTGACCAAACCTTCTCCAGAACAAACAAAAGCAGAAGCAAGTTTACCAGACTCACAAAACATAGAAATCTATATCACCTTTATCCATATCGATCTATACCTGTGTCTATATCTGGACCCGAGCTTGTTCAGAAGGCAAGGCCTCCAGGAGAATGCAAGTGACTTCTCCTCCTAGACTCTGGATATAAATCCCAGGAGGTTCAACAAGCTTTTAAGGATTTGAAAATTATTTCTCTTACAATTGGAAAGCTATAAGAAAGACACCTACTGTCTTGATTTTTCACATAGTATGTATTCTAAATATAAAATATAAATACTTATCAGTCCATAAGTTACATAAAGCATGTTTATTACTAAACTAAGTGACTATAGATTTGCACAAAGCAATCAAAACATAATGCTTTGGCTGGGCACACTTGTGCATGCCTGTAGTTTCAGCTTCTCCAGAGGCTGAGGCAGAAGGATTGCTTAAGCCCAGGAATTCGAGGCCAGCCTAAGCAATACAGTGAGGCCCTGTCTCAAAAAACAACAACAAAAAAAAGAAAGAAAGAAAGAAAAGCACACCCCCCCCCAACAAAAAGCAAAATACTGCTTGTATATTGTCCCTACCATAAACTTTCATCATTCTACCATCCCCAAATGTCTTTTCCCCTAAGCTTTAATATTTTCTTCTTTTTATTACTTAAATTCTTTCATTGGTACATTGCAGGTATACAACACGCTTACAGTTCCCATTGGGAATTGTACCTTTACATGATGCATCTTGGTTCTTATTTTTTCCCCATTCCTAGCCCTCCCTTCACCCCCTCCACCCTTCCCTATGTACAAAGACTTTATTTCCAGTTTTTCCATTCCTCCGCATTTTCAGCTTTACTATTATCTGAAATTCGGTCTTGTAATAATTACTTGGCCACTAACTACCTCGTTTTGTGGAACTGGCCTGCCACCTTTCTCTGTCTTCTGAACAAAGAACAATTAACAAAGACAACAATGAAATGCCCTGTCTCCCAGGAGGGGGCTCCCCAATCCAGAAAGAGCCTAATTTCCCTTTCCTTCAACAAATTTATGGTAAATGCTGCCGAGAGGGTAGAGAGATGCCATCATGAATAACAACAAGGAACGGCAGGAAATCCAAAGCCACTGTGAGTATATAATTGATAAAAGGCTTTGCAATAATTTTCATTTAAGCATAAAATGTGACCAAAAAGCCTCACTTCTTGCCTTCACAACTTCTTCCAAGAACAAACCCCAGCAAATATTTCACCTCATCCTGGACTGCTTGGAGATACATAGCTGCCTGGTGCCGTGTGAGGTTTGTACTTTGTCCCTGTCTTTCTGCTCATTCCTGTCTCCTGGCTACATATACACACTTCCTGCCTCCCCTTTTCTCACCCTCCCCAACAATAAGGAAAAAGTTTAAAGGTAACTACAGATTTGTGCGACTGAAGTCTAAAGCTATATTAACTAAGGTTCTATCACACTTAAGGAAACAAGTCTTAAATTTCACAGACCTCATCAAATTTTCATATGTCATGGCAGAAAATGGAAATCCAATAATATTAGCCAACTTCTTTTGAAAAGGCAGCAATATAAATACATTTTGGAGAAACACAGCCAGCTACAAAACAGGGCCATTATTGTGCTTTTCCTTGAAAATATAAATCAGGCCTTCACATAACTGCATGTTTTAAAGGCAAATTTGGAACACAAGGCAGAGAAAACATATGTCCCTTCTGGGTACTCCTGTGCTTGGCAGGACTTGAAAATTCCTAACCACCATCCACAGCAAGTCACATTGTATCACTAAAAAGCTTGAATGACTTGTTTTCTTACAAATAAAAACAGAGGGAAAAGTCTGACTATTTTATACCCAAACAATCATAGCTATAGGGTGACAATCATAAATAATTCAGTCTGCAATTGTGGATTCAATTTTTAAAGATATTATCTATTGCCAAATGTTGCATTTTGTTTCCTTCAAATGCAATTTCGTAGAGAACTACCTGGATGATTCCCTAATACGCTGTATGGAACTATGATTCTGCTTGTCCTTACATTGCAGTCTCCCCAAAGCAAGGGGCTTCATGATTAGAGTGGCTTTCCCATAAGGGTTCATTTGCCTGCTGGTTCTCATTTTCATTGCAAATTAGCTTTCTTATTGTTACAATCCAACATCTCTTCTCACTGTAAGTCTCCTTTGTCAGGGTGGTTTACAAATAATTTCTCGTCCTGGACAAGGGAATTGATTAATTAATCAAATAAAGTATCCCTTTGAAAATCTATTTCTTGAGTGGCTATCTCTATAGCTTCTGAAAAAAAATAGGATCTAGTTGTCGTAAGATTCTAAAACAGAGAGTAACTCCAGAAAGTCTGGGGTGGTTGTCTGGACTGAAATTTGAAGGAGTTCGTGGCAAGTTTCTGATGAAGAGGAAAAGAGGGTAGCTACAGAGAATTCTTCAATGAACCTACATCATTGCTACAATTTGGATTTGAAATGCCCCCTAATGGTCTATGTGTTAAAGGTCTGGTTTTCAGCTAGTGGTGGTACTGGAAGGTTGTGGAACTTTTAAGAGGAGGGGCCTAGTGGGAGGATGTTAGGTCACTGGGGACAATGGAAGATGTGGATATCCTCGAAGTGGATATTGTGACCCTGGCTCCTTCCTTTCTCCTCTTTGCTTTCCAAACAGATCTCTTATACTACATGCTCCTGCTGTGATGATGTACTGTGTTGCCACAGGCCTGAAACAACTGTGTCAATGGATCATGCACCGAAACTTATGAAACTGTGAGCTAAAATAAAATTTTCCTCTTTTAAAATTGATTATCTTAGGTATTTTGTCACAGCAACTGTGAAAACACTTGTGTAAAAACAAAAACAAAACAGAAGATCATCATATCACCAAGAGAAGAAGAGTGAAAAAGGGTCTTGAAAATTACACCAACTTTCAAGAGCAAAATAAATTTAGGCTTAAAAAAAGTCTTTGTAGAGCTGGGTGAGGTGGTACATGCCTGTAATCCTAGCACTTGGGAGACTGAGGCAAGAGGATCAACATGAGTTCGAGGCCAGCCTGGGCTACATAGTGAATTCAATGCCAGTCTGAACTACATAGTGAGACCCTGTCTCAAAATTTTTTTTAAAAAAGTCTTTAATTCAA